TCATTAGTAAAATTTTGAGTAACTTCGGCCTAAATTTTTGATCGTCGCTCTTAGCCAATCAAAATCAAGGATCATCCATATGTAATCACATTTATGATTTAATTTATAAGAAAACCCTCCTTTATATAAGCACATTTATAAAAAATTTACTATGTGCCCAACTGTGTAATTGTTCGATCGTCCGAACCGAAACAATTATCAACCGGTTGATCTTGTTGTCAAACCAGTTTGTTATAAACCCGGTTGATTAAAAAAAATAAATGGGTCTATTATAAGTTTGTTCCTGTTCAAATTAAATATCCGAATCTAACGTAACAAAGCAATTTTGCTCAAAACGTTATCTTCATCTCACGGACAATCCGATATTGTTCAATAAGCAAAGTTCAAGAAATTGACCTTTTCTTGATCTTTATGTATAGTGAACGTTGACACTTCATTGAAGCTATAGACGAATAATCGTGTTAGCCGGTTTAATTTAGTAACCTGTTTTAATTTCGAGTAACTGGTTGATAACCGGTTTTGACCTAGGACAGTTTTGACCTAACGGTTGACGGTTTTAAATTTTTTAAACCGATTTGGACCCCTAGTGATTGCACCAACTGTGTAGTTGTTTTGGAGGGTGACTGTGTCTTGCTTGATTTATTAAACCACCTTTGTTTAAGATCGGTTTCGCGAATATTCACGGTTAAAAGTTATATTCAATTCTTGCTAAACACCTTTAAGGTCGGTTTCACGGTTAAAAGTTAATATTTAAATTGAAAGATTGGAGCTCTTAACGTTTCAGGCATAGGATCAATTGGCCGGCTGCCCACGTGAGTATTAAGGGATCTCATGTAAAAATTATCCTTAACCAGGACGCGACGTCTAAATTCAAATATTAGATTTGTTATGAACAATTTCTTTGACTATTATTTAATATATGAAGACTGGTACAAACTTACAAGAGAAAGTCTGGTGCTATATAAATGAAAGTAAAACTATACACATTATCAGATAGGGCGTGATAACCTCTGAAGACTATATATTTTTGTCTTGTTATACAGTCAAACCTGTTAAAATAAATACTGATTAAATGAATAACTTGTATAAATGAATACAAAAGTTAAAACAAAGTTGGTTACTAAGGTTAATTGCATAAACTGTTTAACTGAATGATGCATAAAAAAAATTTTTTTAATTTTATTAATAAAAGTTTCATAAAAGTTATGCTATCTGAATATTTTAAACCTTTTTATTTACATAATTGTTATACAAAATTTTATAATTTGATTGGTTAAATTATAAAATATAAAAATTTTATTAATTTTTTGTAAATGAATATCCTGTCTAAATGAATACAAAATTGGTTCACCGACCATATTCATTTAGACAGGTTTGACTATAGTCCCAAGCGGGTTGAAAATTTAAAGCCATCAACCGTCAGGTCAAAACCAATTACCAACCAACCAGTGATCTGAAATTAAAACCAGTTTCTAAATTAAACCAGAATAACACAATTATCCAATACCATATTTGCTTAGAAGATAAAATATATCTACAATATCAGATTGTATTGTGAAATGAAGATAACGTTTTGAGCAAAGTTGCTTTGTTACGTTAAACTTCATTATTAACTATTTAATTTAGACAGAAGTAGAAGAACCATTTATTAACCAGATATCTGGGTTAACCGAATATTTTTCGATCAACTGGATGTAACATACTGGTTTGACAAAAAGATCAACATGTTTGATAATTTTTTTTGTTTAGGTAATCGGTTGAACGGTTAACCAAATAAGAGGTTGGATCTCTAATCGTTTGTAGTTAGAATTTAGAGTAACTGTAAATATACAATCAAGTTTCTAGGGTACGAAAAATGGTTAAATAGATCTTTTTACGACACATCGATCCTACACTTTTCTTTCAAGCCCAACATGCTCCCAGAATTCCTTTACTCCATGTGATTCATTCTTGCAAAAAAATAAAAAAAGTTAACTTTGCTTTTGTGTACTGCACCACAGCAGGATATTGCACTATAGAAATGACACCCCATACCTCAAAGTAGGGACAACACCTTCCAAGGTTGTGCAACTCCTGACTTAGAAAAGAAAGACATGAAAGATTGTTTACCGACCATAATAATAAACTCATGACTTTAATTTTTTTCATTTTCTTTTCCTCAGAAGCTATTCTTTTTAGAATATCACAGTATTTCTTTTACATTAATGAGTTCCTAGTGATTGTCGTCCCCATGCGATTCATTCTTGCAAAAAATAAAAAAAGTAAATTTTTTGTAAGTAAAAAATAAATGACTATAGACGAAGAGGAGATTTATGAATAATACTAGAAACAGTTCATCACCCCGGGTAGGATGACACCCCAGAGCTATACCACAGCAGGATAATGTATTGTAGGAACGACACCCCATACAAGTATACATGGGTGTCTAATTACTTCTCTTAATAAAAAATTATTTCGATATTTAGTCTGTCGAAATTAATTTTTCTTAGTGGCGAAATTAATTTTCATAGTTGTCGTGAAATTATTTGAATTATTTATGCCAAAATACATTAGGTAATATAGTTACTTTGTGGAATTCATATAAACAACTCATGATATCAAAATATTTGTCGAAATTACTTTTTTTTAAAAAATAATTTAGACACCCATGTATATATACAGTCACTCTCGTTATAGTGAACCTATTGTTATAGTGAAGAACAGTTTATATAAAAACCCTCTCGATATAGTGAATTTCTCGATATAATGAAAAAAATCTCTCAGCCCGATCACTCCACTATAATGAGAGTGACTTGTATCTCGAAGTAGACAACAACACCCCTTCAAGGTTGTGCAACTCTTGATTCAGAAAAGAAAGACATGAAAGATTATTTACCAACCATAATAATAAAGTTGTAACGCTACCCTTCTCATTTTCTTTTTATCAGAAGCCGTTCTTTTTAGAATATCACAGTATTTCTTTTGGATTAATGAGTTCTCAGTTATTGTTGTGTTTCGAATAGAGTTGATGGTGAAACTAAATTGTGCTGGTGAAACTGGTAACTATTCAAAATCAATCAGATTTTAGCTAGTCACCGATTTAGTTTCACCAGCAACTCTAGTTTCGAACACCGGACGTCCATACGGATTTCAACAACTTTAAAAACCTATATACAAGTCACTCTCATTATAGTGAAGTGATCGGGCTGAGAAATTTTCTTTATTATATCGAGAGTTGATTAGTAAATTCACTATATCGAGAGTTGATTAGTAAATTCACTATATCGAGAGAGTTTTATATAAACTGTTCTTCACTATAACAAGAGGTTCACTATAACGAGAGTTCATTATGACGAAAGTGACATGTACGACCATTCCGATGGTGAAGTATTAATGAAATACAATTCGGAAGACTCATCTGAAATTTATTATCAATTTTTAAGTATAATACTGCCAGCCAGAAAATATAATTATTTTATAAGTAGAACGCGTAGGTGGTGTTCAACGAACGGGAATATAGAACGCGTGTGCTTTTATGCGATCAGAGGTTCATTTACCTGTACTGTAGTACGAAGTATCCCTCCGCGTGATGATCGACAATAGGAATGTTTGCAACTTTTATTGGTGCCGAGCTTAAATTTTTGCATACTCGAAAATCATTCGGTCCGGTTCCGGTCATTACGAAGACCGACCTATCATCACACATAACTCTTCACTAACGCTAAATCGATTTCTTTTTTATTCAACATACAACATACGATCATAAAGGCATTTAACTTGTAACAAAGTTTTACTTGTGCATTGCACTTAAAAATCTGTAAGGATCACACAACGATTAACACTACTTATATGAATGCGACATAAGAAAAATAACAACTTCGTGTTATGTAAAATTTTGAGTGTCATCAATAAACCCATTTTTTTTCTCCATCATTATGAATTATATAGCAATCACGGTTGACGTAATGTCTTTTGTCATCCAGTGATATAATAATTGAGAATTCTTCCAGGTATGGTATAAACTTAAATATCTACTTACAGATTTTGATATGGCAACCGATGATTTTGATATTAAAATTGTAATTTCGGTCATCAAAGCGCATAGAAGTAAAAATGCTGGTGAAATTAACTAGAATGGTGAAATAATTTCACCATTATTGATAAAATTGGTGTTGAATTGGTGAAATTGATGAATTAATTTCACAGCATCTCTACACTACGCAGAAATAATAATATGGATTGAAACCTTGAAAACTTAGCAATGATAATTTCCTAACAAATAAAGTAGATGATATCATATAGGAAACTAATAAAATTAATATATTACTATAGAGATGTTGATCCGGGAGGATGTAAGAAAAAAATGGAGAAATGAGAACTTTCTACGTGGTATCAAATGAATTCGACCGCTAATTGATTAATATTATACTATTAATTCAGGTACACGGCCTTACTTTGATCAATCATTCTTTATTTCGATTCTGTTTCATCACAACGTAGCTCGAGTCACTATTTCAGATACTCGAATACTTTGATAATTCCATTTTGAATGACAAAGATTTAGACAATTAAAAATTATAATCCACAAGTAAACGATTTTTCTTATTTAATTATGACCCACAATTAAAGTTTAATATTAAACATTGGTTTAATGGTGTGGCTTGTTCTTGTGATGTTCTATAAATGAATAAAAAGAATAGTAAGCATATGAGAAAATTCATAAAATTTACAAGTTTTATTCTCAAAAAATTTCGTTGTGGGCTTAAATTTACTTACTTAAATGAAGTTCATAATCAAGCGCATAACCAAGAAAACCAAGACCCAACATAAGATGCAAAATAGGAACAGGTGAACTAGTTCGAATGTATCTAAACCAGTATCTTCCTAATAATCTAGGCATCGTAGGAGGTATACTTTCAACCAAGGGTCCCTTGGGTAATTTTTTGTAAAGGTCACCAAGTTGGGCAAAGGCCGCAGAGCTGCCTGTTATTCCAGAAACAGATAACTTAGGAGGAATAAGAGACCTCGTAGAACTCATTTTTTGAATAAACCGAGAAAGCGTACTACAGTTCTTTTTTTTTTTTTTTTTTTATTGACCAAAATTAAAGATTTGAAGATCAATCACAACCAAAATTTCCAAATTTCGTTGGCAAATCAAATTTCAAGAAAAACTTTTTAACGTTAACGTTAACGTTAATTAAATTGTAATATGAAATCGACTCGAGCTGAACGAGTCCAATCACTATTCTATGAACTAAAAAAAATTTCTTCGCTTCTAACCAAATATAATAACAAAACCCAATCCTCAAGTAAAATTATTTCTTATTAGGCTGATAATCAGTGATGTAAATTGGATCCGCGCAATAGCGCAGCGTACATAGATTTAAATTCATATATCAGCGCTCTTCGTATATATGTTGTAAGTGGAAACGGAATTTAAGTGGATTCGGAATTTATATATAAAACCCCCGTTCTGGGGTTGATTTTATCATATGTACACCCTAACCCTAACCCTAATTTAACTAGGAAATTCCAAATCCACTTAAATTCCATTCCCACCTACAACATATATAAAGCGCGTATAAATTTCATATTTTTGTTGTGTTTGCGCCAATAGAAATTTTCGTTATAACACTGTTGACAATTAGGGTTGTTGATGATAATTGGTAAATTACTACGCATAAAATTTAATGGTAAGTTACATGGTAACTTACATTTTTCAGTACAGTCAGACCTCTCTAAGCGCACTCTCTATAAGTGCACACCCTCTCTAAATACACGCTCAGATTCTGGCATAAATATATACTTGACCTCTATAAATGCACTTTTTCTTATTATTCTCTAAATGCATGGTGTTAAAGTGTGGTAACTTACGATAATTTACCGGTAACTTTCAAGTAAGTTAACAAACCGAAAGTAGATTCAGGGATATCCGACAGCTTTTGTTGTTTTTAAATTTTACTATATCAGATATATATGTACAATGAAATTCGTAATGAATATTCAGTGTTTTGACCCGGGTGGATATTACCCAGGTCACCCGGGTTGAATAATTACAACCCGGGTGGGTCAACCCGCGGGTGACCCGTCGGTTGACCCGTTAGTTGACCTGCGGGTTGACCAACAGAATAAAAAATCACTAAATGCACACACCGCATATATCATCTAGCTTCAAATTTAAATATCCATGTCTTTTTGAATGTGTTTGAGAACTCGCGTATAGAATATATGCAATTTTAGAACTGATGTCTAAGTTTTGGCAATTTTTCGAACTAATAAGCTCTAAAATTTTTTCTTTAAAATATTTTATTTATATTACCAGATGTTCCAAAATTAATGAAAACAACTGTAATCATGTAACTTATAGTTGAGTGGCGCGATTAAATTTTCGTGGTTCCAATTCCTAATGATTTCTAATCCTAATTTATGGACCCGCATAATTCGTTTAAGATTTGCAGTACGTAATGACCAGATCGTAATTCTGAACACGGGTAGTTTTTTAAACTGATACTAACCCCTGTCGGGTGACCCGTTGGGTGATGTTTTGAAGCTGACCTGATTTTCATCCGGGTGACACATTGCCCACCCGTCAGGTGACCCGGGTGAAGATTTTTTAGACGACATTCGTTAACAAATAAATCAGATATTCCAACATCCGCAAATAAAAATCAGATATTCAGACATTCGTTAACAAATAAATCAGATATTCCGCAAATAAAAATCAGATATTCAGACATTCGTTACAGCTATTATCATAATTTCTGGGACACCTGCTCATTACCCGAAATCTTTTTGGTCGTTCGGTAATTACCTAACTCTCTAGAAACTACATCGCTATCTTCGGTCCTTCAGTCCGGAGGCAGTGATGTAATTTCCGGAAAGTTAGGTAATTTACCGAACGACCAAAAAGATTTCGGGTAATGAGCAGGTGTCCCAGAAATTATGATAATAGCTGTAACAAATAAATCGGATATTCGGACATCCGTTAACAAATAAATCGGATATTCGGACATCCGTTAACAATAAAATCGGATATTCGGATATTTAACCTTAGCAAGCATTTAGTGATACGTACTAAGAATTTGCTTGGGTTATGAGTGTCGCTAAGGGAAAACCGGCAATTTTAAAAATAGATTTATTATGAAATTTATAATAAATCTATTTTTAGAATTGCGGTTTTTCCTTAGCGACACTCATATGTCCCGACAAGCAATTTTAAAAACCTTGTTCTTTAATAATTTACCTGAATTCCTGTAATGGTAAAGAATGTTTAAATTGAACCCAATGTTGATCGACGTTAAACTTTTACTAAATTGATTTGTCAAGACTTCTTAGTTGTTCTTATAATTGGATTGAATAATAAGATTGAATTCATAACAGTTAAATAAAAAAAAAAAACAAAAAAAAAACTAGTTTCTTTAGCATCAATCGTATGATGATCTACTACTCTAACAGCCCAAGTTTTCATATATTATTACGTTGGAGTTTTTTCATTGTTCAAGTATAGATGCAAATGTAAAATATTTCAGCATTGATACTGTAAATTTAAGAATTTAAGGATTGTTAAATGTATTTTAACGTTAATAAAATTTCTTTATTATACATTATATAATAAGCATATATATTACGTTTGATATATATGTAAAATAAACATGTTAAAGGTTCCGTCGCGTCACTTTGAGCATATAAAAAAAAAAAATCGGCAATTCATAAATCGAAGAAGCTTTGAAATAAAAGTAATAAAACCCAAGATAATTATAAGTTGTGCTCTCTCAAAAACACGCACTACCCGAAAATCCTGCCTAAAATTCGTATAAACAAAATAGTACATATTTTCCAGAGAATACATTAATAGTTAAAAGAATTAATCGATTAAAAGAGAATTTAAACATTAAAAGAATAAAAAAGAAAAAAAAAGAAAGTACATAAGAATCTCGATGAAACGAGATTTAAAAAGTAATTTATAAAAATATAATTAAAGAATTAAAAACTATGATTTTCTTAAATGAAGTGAAAACAAAAATATTTGTCAATTAATAACAATTGTAATATAGTATTATTATGATAAAAGTAAATATTACAATTGTTACTTCTTGATAAGTTTGATATATACATACTATTGTTGTTAATGAATGACAAAAATGTGAAAAAGAATTGCCGATCTTTTTTTTTAAATTATTCACACCGCATTTTAATACGCCAATAGATTTTAATAACTATTCACACTAACACATTTTCTAACCCATTCGGCGCTTCTTAACTCTTTCAATATGAAATGCGCAACGTTTGCTCTCGAAACTTTGTTGTAATTTGCTTTCTCATTTATCGTATACTCGTTAGTTAATTGACCATTTGTTAACTTTCCGGGTCTAATTATTGTCCAATCGATGTATTTAGTATTACTTATTATAATTCTTTCTTGAATTGCCTTGTCTTGCAAAATTTTACCAGAGAATAAATTTTCAAAGAACTTTTGTATGCCATTTGTTGAAAGGTGTGGTTGTATGATGCAAGTGGATTTTATGAGTTTATCATCATCGAAATCGTCGGTGATTCCTTGACACGTTACAGCAATCAACCGTCTTACACCATATCGTTTCATACTTGAAATGATTAATGATTGACTACGTGAACAAATATCGATGTCTGTAGCGAATAACGGTTTTGGCCCCAAGCAATTTATAATGGCGTCTTGATGTTCAATTACTTTATCTAAATCGTCGCGGCTAAGCACTGAGCCAACTACTATCACAAGATTCGGATTTCTTAATTGACGACGTGTAAACGGTAAGTTAATATCATTCTGAACTAGAGCTGTCACATGATACGAAGCTTCGAGTGCTTGGTTAACTACTTGAGCTCCAAGATCACCAGTTGCTCCAAGAACTAACAAAAAAGGTTATGAAAAATTATAAATTTAATTATAAATTTAATTGTTTAAAAAAACATATTCTATTCACGTGAACAAAAAGACCTACCTAAAAGATGTTTGCCACGCATAGTGCTTGGAACATAATCATCAGGATCAATATTGTACATCAAGTTTGGGATAATAATAGGAGTATGGGGTACCATTTGATATTTTGGCTGAATCATAACATCGATAGTATTATTCTTGCGAGATTGGCGAGATTTTTTGGAGCTAATGGTCATTTCTTATTATTATTATTATTACTATTACTGTATACTTTGATATTATATGAAATA